CCTGAGCTGAGGGGCCCAAAATTGTACTTCTGTCCTCTTCCCCTTCCTCTTGCCTTTCCTCTTCCCCTTCCCCTTCCTTTTCCTTCCTTTCCCTTCTTCCCTTTCCTTCCTTTCCCTTCTTCTTCCCTTTCCCTCTCCCTCTCCCTTCTCCTTCCCCTGGAGAGGGAAGCTGTCAGTGTCCCACCAGGAAAGCTCAGTGCCCCTCGTGTCCTCCAGCCCCAGGAGAACCAACTGCTTTTGATTCACAGCCACGAAAAATGAGGCAAAAAAATGCCATTACCGGCAGAAGATCTCGGAGTACATGAGCAGAGCTGAAGACATTAAAAAGCACATTGAGAAAGAGAAACAAGGTATGTAAACATACCTAGCACTATGTACATACCACAAGGTACCTAAACATAGGTAAAACAAGGTATGTAAAGAGAAACAAGGTATTCTCTTTCCTTTTCTTAAAGGCACACAAGGTGCCCTGTGCCTTTAAGTGCCTGTTGCTATGTGAATGTTTTGTGGGAGAGGTGGTTTAACACAGAAATTGTCCTGATCTTTACTTTCCTTTATTTTCAGATTTACTTTATTTTCAGATTTACTTTGTTTTCAGATGGCAAATACCATAAGCAAATCAGGATAGAGGAAAACGCAACAGGTTTTGGCTACGAGAAGCTTTTCCATGAGTACCTGACTGAGATTGTTTCTGAAGTGTGGGTGGAGGACCCTTACATTAGGAACGTTCACCAGGCAAGTACATACAGATGTAACTACTACAGGTGTACCTGATACAGATGTAAGTACTAAAGAAATCTGGAGTTACTAAATGAAATAAAATTTTTACAGTTGTATAACTTCCTGCGATTCTGCGAGATGCTAGTTAAGGGGCCGTGCAAAGTGAAAAATATCCACCTCCTCACTTCCTATGATGAGGTAAGCATCTAGATTCTGCTTTCTATTTCCCTGTACTCACATGATACCACATGCAAAAAAAAAAAAAGGATAAAAGAATAGACTTGTTGTTACTTACCAGAACTTGTTAGATTCCGGCTCTGATGCCTTCAGCAGAGAACACAGATTAAAGGAAAAACAAAATCATGACAGCTAAATGTAAATAATTTTATAAGTTCAGAGTTTGCTGATAGCTCTAACAAAGTTCTTGGTAAGCAGAATCTTAAATGCAAAAGATATTTCTGTGCAAGTTTTGTTGTGGAAAATGTCATCAAAACCAAAGCAGCTATTGAGATATGGTTTTGCTTCTGCTCTTCCAACAGCAGTGTTGTCATTTTACAGGCTTGGATGAGCTGAAATCTCTCAGACTGTCACTGCACTTATTTTGGCTCAAATAAAAATTCCTGTCTCGTTTCAAAAGGCTGAGAGTTAGCTCTTCCTCCATATTCCAAGCCTACCTGTAGTCTGTCTGCCTTTGAAATGCTGATTCTGCCTTCATCCAAATTACTTACTTTTGGTTTACATTGATGCTAAAAAGGTTTTGATGCTGAGTTTAGCAAGAGGTGACCAGAAGTAGAATATACAGAATCATAGAATTTTTGGGGTTGGAATGGACAGTACAGATCATCCAGTCCCAACCCCTGCCCTGGGCAGGGACACCTCCTCACTAGATCAGGTTGCTCAAGGCTTATCCAACCTGGCTGTGAACACTGCCAGGGTTGGGGCAGCCACAGCCTCCCTGAGCAACCTGGGACAGTGTCTCACCACCCTCACAGGGAAAAACTTTTTCCTATCTAACCTAAATATCTAGTTAAAAAAAATAAGCCCACCAGGTTGTTTTTACTTTTGACAGGGCAGTGGGAGGGCTCAGCAGATGAGTGGCTTGGAAGAAATACAACAGTCATTGAGGAATTATGGAGTAACACTGAATATTGAGTTTTCATCTTCAATACATGATCGAGAAATTAGGTGGGTGGTATAAAAAAATGAGTGAATGCCAGCTGTTGGAGGTCAGACTCCTTACCCCTGTCTTTTGAGACAACCTCTAATTACAGCTGTGGTGTGCAAAGTGTAAAATCAGCCCTCCATAGTTGCATGTTTTCAAACTGAACACGGTCTCATTATAATACAGAGTGGTGTCTTCCTGCTTCACACAGGTAGGTGTCAGTGACACTACAAAATAATTGGGTTGAAAACTTCCTGGTTCACACAGGTGTCAGTGACACTAGGAAACAGTGAGCATTAAAAGAAAGAGCTTGTGCATCATGTGGATTTAACAGTTATTTTGTTCAACATACTCATGATATTCAAATCTGTGAATTTTTAAAACAGATTCAACAATGGATGGACGGTTAAGATTGGAAGGGGACTTGATTATTTTAAGAAACCACGGGTAAGAATGCTTTGGCCTCTTTGATTCACTTAGAATGAGCTTTCCTACAGCAGGTGTTCACCATGTCTGTTCTGTTCATTTCTGCAGGGTCGTTTCAGCATTGGATACTGTGACTTTGACTTGCGACCTTGTCACGAAACCACAGTGGATGTATTTCACAGTAAACACACAAAGAAAATTTGATCAGATAGGAACTGCTTTTAATAAGTGTTTTTATAGCATAGGAATGTGAGCCTGGAGGATGTCGCTTCAGTCCAGCTGATCACCCTCAGAAGCAACTCTTCCAAGGACTTAGTGCAGCACTGCTTTTATAATCTCTAGGGTTAAGAATATTTGACTTTTCAGTCTGAGGAAACACAACTGTACAAATCCCTCACTGTGCTTCTTCCATAATCTTAATTAGTATAATCCCTCTTGAAATTTTATCTGGATCTCATGACAGACACTCAGTATTGTCTTTCAAAGGCCTCTTTACTGTCATTTCCATTTGATTGGTGATTTTGTCTTCAGCCAGTCTTGCTTTTTATATCTTTAATTGACCCAGACTCTTGAAGCTGGGCTGCCACATGTCCTCTTTTAAAAGCAGTCTTATTTATTTCCTTTAACACCTGTGTTCTAGTCATGGCCACTGTTCTGGGTTTTGAGCAATCCTGTAATACCTCATTTCACAGACTTTACTAGTAACCCCAAACCTAACATTCCATTTTCCAAGTTCCTTGCCTACAAATGTTGTAGCATTCAGTATACAGTCCTTTTAGGGCTGTCTTACGTGCTTCCACGTGATGGATTTTGGAGTGGGAAAGCTGAGAACAGCTGTATTCTCTTCCCTGTCCCTCCTATATGTTCTTTTATTCTGTGGTGTGTGGTCATATACCTGATTTCCATCCTGAGTGTCAGGTGTGGAAAGGATGTACGATCCTCTCCCAGTCTTATTCCCTGCCTTTAATGCTCAATGACTGGGTAGTCATGCCAGTCTCAACTGCAGTAAGCTATTAATCTACTACTAAGGAAGTCCCCTAAAAAAATAAGTTGATTTTACAGATCTGTCAGAAGTTGAATACCCTGAAACTGTCTCGTTAATAATGATTCAAAGGAATATGCTATTTGGAATAAAGACAAAGTCTTTCCTTGTCTTTCCTTCATCCTTTGGAAACCAGAAGGTATTACCTGAGCTGCTGCTGCCTTTTCTTCTTATACAGGAGTTTTTTGTCAGCAAGAATCCACCAAAGCTGTATATTCTGAGATGAAGAATAGGCTGTGGCATCTTTTGCATGTCCCACCTAAATCTTTTCAGCCTCAGGACTGATAGGTGCCTTACACTTTCTGCCTCTTATAACACAATAGGCCTTTATACTCTAGTAGCGTATTTATTGCGAGAACTTTTTCTCCCTCCTGTGTTTCTTTTCTAGTAGCATATTTATTGCTAGAACTTTTTCTCCCTCCTGTGTTTCTTTTTCCTGATGGCTGGTGTATTCCATTGCCCTTTTTTTTCTTTCTTAATGTTCTTTATTATTCCATTTTCTGTCTTTTAATGCTGCTATTCTTTTCCTCTAACAAATCTATTCCACAGTATTCCATTTTCTGTCTTTTAATGCTGCTATTCTTTTCCTCTAACAAATCTATTCCACAGCAATCAGGAAGACACAGAGCTGGTCTTTGCCTTGTTCTCTGAGTCACAGTTTGCCAGTGGTCTGCCTTCTTTGTCCTTTTGCATAAGAGTGTCTCAGCTTTGCAGTTCTACATTAGCAAAATGAATTACATACGTTCCACAGATGCTGTATGCTACTGGTCATTCCTCCAAACATTCCATAGGAGCTCCCTGGCTTGCTGCTGTGATACCAGTTTTATTCAGTTATGTGTAACAGATGCCTATTTTTAATGGGAATAAAGATTATTTTTTATTATTTGTAGCTGCAGTCATCTGTTGTGCCTCAATGTCCTTTTTAAATTGGGTGGGGGTTCCTTGTCAGCTGCAGCCTATTGCAGTGGCTTCCATCCTACAGCTTGGGAACACTGGGTGCAGACAGTGTGAAATTCAATTGCTAGCAGGTAATATTAAACAAAAGCACAAAATTAAACAGTTTGACTAGTAAAATTCAGCTTGTAGACATCAATGTTTTAATTTTGTTTTCAACACATTAAATAAAAAAGCAGCAGAGGTTTGACTTAATAAAAGTGATATTTTCAGAATGCAATCACATTAACATTAACATATTCTCACACAGCAGATTCCACCTGCTGTGCAACTCGTCATCTTGTGGACACACTCTTAGCAAAGTTGTCACTAGTGTAGTGGTTTCATTTGGGCAAAACTTACTGCCAGTAAGGCCATTGACCAGTTGGCTGTACAGTGCTGGTGGCAGCCACTGCTCTGGCAGATCAATGTTACAGACTTCAATCCTCCCATGCTTTACGTCCATATTTACTTTAACATCAAGAACAGAACCTTTATAGGCCATGTTAAGACACGTGCTAACACTGAACTTTGGTGTCTTTCCATACACCCATTCCCAGGTTTGTAGCTCTTCAGTTTTGTGATTAATTCCAGGAAGCAGAGTCTCATCAGCTGGATTTATTACGGTGATATGATGATCTATTTGGTGCTGCATAGCATATTCTTTAGCAATGGCATCCAGGAGCATCTCAGAAGTTAAACTAGGATCCTCCTCAAAGAGATTTTTCACCGAGGCAGGCACACTAGGAGTGGCATTGCTTTTCAGCCCTTTGTAAGGACTTTTTAGTACCGAAGATAAAACAAACTTATCCGCGTTGCAGAGTAAGGTGCAGTGGTGATAAGCACTTGTCCTTCCCAGCTTTGCAGCAGTACCTGAGATTTTGTATTGCCCATCTAGCAAGATGTCATACCTGTCAGTGACGTGGACATCTAACTGGGGGCGCAAGGCTTTCAAGGCCTTCACAACTAGTTTCAGGTTTTCCATTCGTTCGTATTTTTTTCTGGTTGTGAAGAAAGTCAAATTGATATTCCCTAAGTCATGGTAAACTGTCCCTCCTCCACTTCTTCTCCTGGCTAGTTTTATATTCTTTTGCCTCAACAGCCTGAGGTTGCATTCCTACCAGGGATTCTGATGTCTCCCTATTACCACAGCAGGGGAGTTTCTCCAAAGATAAAGGACCTGTCGCTTCTCTAAATCCATGTGGTCATGGATCCAGTCTTCCACGGCCAGATTTTGGAAAACATCATTAGAAACAGACTGGATAATGAGGCCTCCACTAGCTGTGCTCCTGAAGCCAGCTTTTGGAGTCCTGAGGACACAGGACAGCCAAACACAGTTCTTCAACGACGACTGGAGCACCATGTCTTCAATAACTGGACAGTGGGCAGGAGGAATGCCTGCTCTGCTGAAACTGAACGTGGCAAGGGCACCACTGGCTGTTCTGACAGAAATGACAGGCTAGTGGCAGACATGATGTAGTCCTCTTCTTCCCACAGCAACACTCCTGCATGGATGCGAGTTCCAAGACATGGTTCTCATCCTGCTGCCAGCGATGCTGCTCAAACCCTGATGGGAGCTTCACGTACCAGCCTGGAGGAGTCAGAGTGGCTGCTCCTTGGTGCCTAAAAGACCAAAGGAAGAAATAAGAATGTGTATTTTCCCCCTCATTTCATTAATCTGTTAAGAAAAAAACAGGTGCCACAATACATCTTGTCTAAAACACACAGTTCCCCCTTTCTCTAGCCCAGTAACCACATGTCCTATATATCCAGGTTTAATTACTATCCAAAACATACAACCCACCATTTCTAACCCAGCTGCTGTTCCTATCCACTTTAATTGTCTAAGAGCACAATTC